TGTGGTCTGATAGAGAAGATCACTCTCCTTGGGGTAATGGAGACCACAAAGAACTGGGAGAAACTGGCCTGTGTCACTCGTCCCAAGCCCTGCTAGCTAATGCTGTGGTGGCACCTTTCCTCTAGAAGGCTCCTCTTCTAGAGATTGTGATTCAGGTGGTGTTCAAAATCCATCATTTTAAACAAGCTCCCCAAATAATTCTGATGCAGTTAATTCATTCATTCACTGGATCTTCTGTGTAATCAACAAATATTCTTTATATGTGCAGGGTATACAGTAGTACACAAAACCACAAATATGGTCCCTGTGTTAGTGATACTTCTGATCTAGAAAGAAAGCGGATGGCAAATGACCACATAAGCAAAATAAAGTTGTAAATTGTGCTAAGTGTTGTTCTATGTTCCAGACTGGCCAAATCTGACCTAATGCATGGCCAAATAGGAAAACGAAAAGAAAAAATTTCTCCTTGTGAGAAGGTTGTAGTCTTCCTTTTGGTCTCTTTCTTCTTTTTCTTTCATTTTTATCTTTCTTCCTTAGCCCACTCCTCCCTTTTATTTCTGTGGGCCTGTTAAAATGAAAATATCAACCTGCTACTACACACCTTCCTAAGCAATACTTTTATAAGGCCAAATGATGCTATAGCAAAGTGGTGAACACTTAAATTCTAGTCTACAATCTACCTTTACCTAGAAGGTAACCTGAACAAGTCATTTCTGGATGCCTATTCCTTAGGTCTTTACTGGTTTATTGGATAGCTTCTGAGGGTTCCTGCCTCAGCCCCACACTTGCAGGAATTTCAAACCTCCACATTTGTGCTTGAATGTAATCTGAAAAACAAACAAGCATTTTTGTCCCATCATCTGCCACTGATTTGTTCATCTTCCTCACTTCTGCCGAGGAAGTATCTAATGGTTGACTGGATCTATCGAAATGCTCCTCATAGACTGTGACAGGCATCTGTCTGTTTCTCTGCCTGGTACTTGGTCTCCTGCAGAGATTCATTAGTTTTCATGGTGAACCCAAGAAATGAGCCTCAGTTTCTCTCACAACCTGCACATCCTGCTGCCACAGGGCTGCCTTAGCATCTCTTTCATACTACATTCTAGAACCAAGAGACAACACATTTCATAGTTGACAGAGCTCTAAGAGCCCTTCAAATCAAGTCGTTTTTTATGCTTAGCTCCAGAATCTCTGTCATTTGGATGATTCATATTAAAATACTACTTGAAATGCAGGTCAAGTTCTTTAGATGGATGAAAAAGTGTTGAAAGGAGCTGTAACAATCTCCTAGCCTCACTTCCTTACTTAGGGACAGGAGGCAAAATAGAGCATGGTCAGAGAGATCTGGATTCAGATATCACCATTTATCTGCTCTAAAACCTTGGTCAAATTACTTAATCATTGTGTCTGTTTATATTCAACACCATAAAGACACAGGTTACATCTACCATTTAGAATTTCAATGATAACTAAGCAAAATAATATATGCAAACCACTTGACACAATACCTGGCATAGAGTGGGAACTCAACACATGGACCTTTTGCTACAGTTGATTCCTACCCAACTGTATCTCTTTTGCCACCCTCTTAAAAACAGACTTATTTTACATCAAATGCATGAACTTACTATTTTATTTGCTATTCTCATTTTCTTTCCTTTTTGTTCGTGATTCTGACTTTTAAAAATTATATCCTGTATGACTTTTTAATACCTCTCTGCATTTAATGTATACACGCAAATCTCCTTTATTAACTTGTATATAGGCATGCTCCTATATACAAGTTTATAGGGATAAAGGGATCTATGTATAAATGTCAATTCAATATAAAGCAATTTCTCCATTTTACTGACTTTTAAAAAAAATTAAGAGGACCATTTTCCCTACCTATCCACCTTACCACTGTCAAAAGCAAAAAGAAAACCCAGAAATGTTCTCCACTAAAATAAGTATAGCCTGAAGAGGCTTTTTCAAACAAGTGACATGTTCTTGCTAGCAGAAACAAGATTAAATTGGCAGGTTGGAGTGTGAGGACAGGTGCGGTTCCTGTGGCTGGAACTGGTTGGGGACAGGAAAGATTGTGCCAAGCAGGCAGAGGGCAGCTTAAAGTCTGCAAAGGAGACAGCTGCCTGGATGGTCACAGGAACCAAAAGAGAAGCATTAGAGAGGTGGCTTATGAAACTCACTACTGCATTTGGCTTGTGAAATGAGAGCTACCAGTGATATCTAGTAAAATATACACTTACATTTAAATTTGTTAGTGTAAAAGAGAGCAGCATTTGCCAAATGAATTTTATTATTTTTATGTTTTTGTTCAGTTAGTTAACTTCTGCTACACAGATAAAATGTCAGGTTTTTACCTCTCTTCTCCTAAGACATCAGATGGTATGATAGTTCTGCCTCCAGCATAGGAATCCTGAGGTCCCTAAACAAGGAATTTCCCCTGAGGGGTAGCCACTTACAGTAGGCTCTCAGAACATTGCTCAGGGGAGAGTAGTTAGGTAATTGTTTCCCCAGGGCCAGGAAACAAAGTGCTAAGCATTCTATGCATATTGCTATTTTGCAAAGCACCTGACCTTTTACCTGGTGCTGCCTCTCCAGTAGAAAAGAATAGTGGCTGCATAGAAAACTCACCCTGGGTTCATTTCAGGGCCTAGTAAAGCTGAGTCAAAGGCTAGTGTCAAGAATCTCTAAAATAGGAGCTGAAGGTTATCAAGAGCTATTGCCACACACTGCAATTACTGTGCTTTCAGTACAGGCCAGCAGTTTTGAGAAAGACCTTTAGAAATCTTCCTACAAGAGAGATTTTCCTCTACTCAAAGTTTCCCATCAGTCAGGAGTATCCTCTGCTTCCAGAAAATGCCCCAAGTCAATGTACCTAAGACATCCTGATAGTGATGGTCCAGTTTCAGCAAGCTGCACCTCATGCTGGAAAATGCCTCGCCAGCTAGGTATGCTAGGGTGGCCACAGACACCATTGAGAGAAATCCAAAATCTCTTTATTGCTGAGGGGACTCTGTCATCCCTGGGTCAGAAGGAAAACAATGACCACTAGGCCTGATGCACCAGAGTGAAAGAAAATATACCACATTGTGACAATTAATTTAGAGCCTATGAAACCAAACCATGATATTGCTAGAATAAAAGCTGGGCCTGCATTTGTGCAGGAGGCTAGACAAACAGTGGAAAGAACCAGAAAGCCAGTAGTGACAGTGAGAAAAGCACAGGTTGCTAGTGTGACTTAAGGCAGGTACCAACTTGCCTATTCTAACCATTCAACTAACTTGTAAATAAAATGGAAACAACGCTAGCACTTACCTGACTGTAGTGTTGGGAAGAGTAAATGAGTTCACCTGGGAAGTGGTGCTTTAGGTCAGCCCAAGAAGGCAAGATTCTTAAATATCCCAAGAAGAAGAAGCACAAACTAAAGCCTACCTCACCACATCAGAAAGAGTTAGTGGTTTCAGTATACAATTGTATCCAAAAAAAAGGTCACTTTGTTTTCTATTTGTTTAATAAAAAAAAATATTTTAAGATGTTTTAGGAAAAAATATTAAATTGTTTTTAAAAATATGACTACTCAATGGGAGCTTGTAATACCTCTCCCATCCCCCTAAAATTAGATATGCTAAAAGATTGCCTTATTTTCAGAAGATACTGACTAAGAATTTGCCAAGCATGTGAAAACATTTTCTAAGTCTGAATTCTGCTCAGTCTACTTAAGAAGATTAGTGGAACCAGATATGGTGACACACACATGTGATCCCAGCTATCAGGAAGCTAAAGCAGGTGGGTCTCAAGCTTTATGGTACCTCCCCTCACCTTGGGCTGGTTTTTGCAGCCAGTGCTGAGCTTTCTATTTGTATTTTCACTTATGTATCTATACTGAATGATTCTTGCTGATATTCTTCACATTCCTGGCTCAATAACATCAACTCTAAACATCTCATGTCCGAGTTCAGCAGTGCATGTGATAAACACAGCAAGGAGAGCCTTTATATGCTGTCATCACAAATAGATGTTCCTACACACCATCCCTTCCATCTTCCATCTGCAGGGAGCTTTCTTCCCTGTATCCCTGTCTCCAACTTTTTTCTCTGGTTTCTTATAAGCTCAAAGTTTCTGAAATCTCACATTATTCTAGGTCCATTTGTGTTCTTTGCTCCACATCTTTGTACCCTTCTGCTTGAAAACTTTTGTTTTCCTCTTTTTTGTCCATTTTTCTCAACATCAACTCTGTAGTATTTTTCTTGTGCCAGTTTCTATAATAATCAATAAAGGTTATGTATAAGAAAAAAATTCTATATAAAACTTCATTCTCCTTAAATAGCAATTATGTTAAAGAAGTTCCACCAAGTTTATGGTATATACATTTGAGGTTACTAAAATGAACTATTAGATATAATTTTGCACATCTGCAACTATTGGAACAAAAGGATATACATAATATTATATTACTTTTTGTCTTTTGGAGATTTCTTAAAAAGAGGCAATAAAGAAAAAAATGTAAATTTTGATAGAGAAAAAGAAACAAGAGAAAGGCAAAAAAAGCTTAGAATTGACACAATTTATTTAAATGCATTTAAAGAAACTGAGCTATGAGCTATATTTCTACTGATGTTGATTATGTTCAATTATCCACTTTTATGAGGGTGATGGAAAAAATTTTAATTGAACTGAGTAGCATTAATTTTGTAATATCTTGAACATTAGAGTTTGACATAGATTTGTGTCTTCCTTGATTTTCCATTTTATTTACATTTGTTTTAACTTTTCAACAAAATTAACATATGATTGCACAAATATCATATCTCAAATATCTCAAAAGTATGTAACCTGGGTAGTAAAAATCCTATAACCACCCACTGAGCATTTACAAGTATGCAAGATGATCACTGCAAACTGCTATTGTATATTCTTCCAATTTTTTTTTCTTGTACATATACTACCATATTTTAGTAATCAGTACATTTTTCAGTGGGAAGGATTGCACCACTTACCAAAATAAGCCCTGATATTAGTGAAGAAGTACCAGTCAGGGCCACGTAGAACTTCGGTGTTAATGTGTTCAAAAACATGCTCACTGAAAGAAAAAAAAAAGAGAGAGAGAGAGAAAAGGGATATGTGAATATGTAAGTAAAAAAAATCCCTTCTTTTTTCTTTCTGGTGAAATCATTTGTTTCTAACTACAAGAATTCTTAGAACTATACCAAAATCCCATTAAAATGGCGAACTGTTACATAGGTCAGAAAACCCGGTGTTGAATTATACATATGGCTGGAAAAAAAGCTTTATGTAAGAAAAAAGAGCAGCTTTTTAATTTCTATCTCCCCAAACTATTGTGGATGCTTTCCATGGATTCACAACCCCTAAAGGGTTTAATCAAAGTTGGTTACTGAAACTGTCAGTCAAAAGGAGAAGGTGCTCCTTTTTGTGTGTGTGGGACTTGAAAATCAGGGCCCTTGGCAAGACAACAAGCATTATTTCAACCTCAGAACAAACGGAAACAACTATATTAAAATGCTAAATAGTAATTAAAGACTGCAGTATTATGATTATCCCTATGCAGGAATGGCAAATTGAAAAAGTTTGCAAATATCACTAAGTTTTTCCAACTTACTTAAAAGGTTGTTAGACTACTTAAGAAAATGATAAAGCTCAATTTTTTTAAAAAAAAAAGAGAGATGAAACAAAACCATTAAAAATGACCTTCCAGCTGGGTTTGTAGCTCAGTGGGAGAGCACATGCCTAACATGTGTGAGGCACTAGGTTCAATTCTCAGCACTGCACATAAATAAAGATCCATTAACAACAAAAAATACTTTTAAAAAAATGATCTTCCTTCCAAGACTCTGTTCACACCAACTACAGAGTTAATCAGGTTACTCATTAACTGTATATTTTATAAATATATTTTAATTTATTGTCATTTTCAGTTAGATACTACACAAAGCTGATTATTTCCAAAACAATAACAGATAAAATGGTTTTTTACAACGATATTCATATTTGTTTACTTTTTTTTGTGGAAAGAATCACATCCAATCTGATTTCACAATGAACGTCCTTAGAAGTAGGACTGCCCCAAGTTCATCCCAGAAAGCAAAGTAATATCACCAAAATGAATGAAGATCCTACATTCATTCATTCAACAAATCTTTTTCTCTGTTTATGAATGAGAACATGGATAAAAAAATGAAAGACTGAACCAGTCATAGTTCCCACCATCTAGAAGTCCACAATGCAGTTGGGAAACACACAAGTAAAGAAGTAACTGCTATAAAGTTTTATAAGTACTCAGATAGGCCCTATGCGCAGGATGTTATAAAAACACATAAAAGAAATGCACCCCATGTACATGGGGTGAGGAGTGGTCAGGAAGATGTCCATGATAATGGGACATCTAAACTAAGTCCTATAATAAGCAGGAGGTAAACAAGCAGAAGGGTTAGAAAGGGGTACAAGAATACAATTTGAGCAGATAAAGGGACATAAGTGCACAGGTGCTAAGGACAGAGTGTGGACTTTCTAAGCAGATGCAAGTGTTATAGAGGGAAAGAGCTTGTGAGCAGTAGCCTCCTTGTGAAGATGGATGTAAAAGGGCATACTGATTCCATTTTGTTCTTGCCACTCAGCCATTCTCTCAATAAGCTCTCCTCTACCTGCACCCTCTCTTAAATGAAGGAATTTGATCATGGTCTGTCATTTGCAATCAAAAAACACTGGACAAACACAATGTCCTCAGTCAAGGCTCAGGTCTTGAACTGAAGGGACTCTGGGGAGGTAGAGAAAGGCATGAAAAAGTGATCAGCCCAGAACTAGAACAAGAAGAGGTAGGTACAGTTGAGGAGGTTTTGCTTAGCTACTAAAAAAAAACCCAAACTGTCATTTCCCATGCATAAATTAGTTAGGGTTAGGGTTAGGGTTAGGGAAAGAAGCAGGGTTGTAAAAAGAAAAAAAAAATCAAACAAAAGAAGTCCTAGAGTTTATAACTGCTAGTCTGAATTTGAGGTACCTAAAATTTTCTAAATTCCACTCTGCACATGATGAATGGCTTCACATTCTTCAGTATTTTTATGGAGTCCCTAAAACTATATAATTTGTTATTCTGTAATTATGAACATTCATATCTATTCTAGATACTTTTTAGTAGGTTTCGGGAAACTGAGCATAGAATTCAATTAAACCCTTTTCTAAAAGAAAAAGGAAAGATTTGTTTTAGTAGCACTGCTGCTAACTTTTTAGTAACAAAGGTATAAAGAAATGGAAAGAATAGATTTCCTTCTGAAAATCACTGATCAATTAGAGGCAAAAATTCAAGAATTGATAAAATTTTTTAAAATGTACATTATTTGAGTTTTTAAAGGGACAAGAATACATATTTCATTATTTTGTTTTTCTTAAAGGTTATAGAACAGAAGTAATTAATAATTAAAATGTACTGCTCTGTTAAATCTACTTACATATAGTTAGTTGGAGCTGAAAGAAAGAATAGCATGCATGAAAAATAGAGACACCAACAGAGGATGAGAGAAGCAATAATAGAAACATCTAAGAGTAGGAGGTGCCTGTTTAGTAACTTCTTAATCTTAAAGTCTTCCTGGCTATTTTGGCTAAGACAGCATTTGGCAATTCTGAACACAAATATCAAAACTCAGTACTTGCTATTGCAATCCATTTATCTATATTTGTAAAATTTATGACAAGCTCTTCCACATAATAGAGAATTTAATTCTCACCTCAACTCCATGAGGTCAATATTATCATTCACCTTATTTTGCAATTGGAGGCTGAACAAAGACCTTGATGCATGCCAGCCTACCCCCAAGTTCTTGTTCATGGCACCACAACCAAAGAACAAAAGGAAAACAGTAGAAAGGAGGAAGCTCTAAACCAAGGTTGCTGGAAGATAAGCATTTTTAATGCTTTACTAATATTTACCTCTGACCTTTAAAGGTCAGTCCACGTGGATGTTGTCATTCATGAGTGAAACATCAGAATGGAAAGGCAGAAAGCCACCCTGAAGAGGGGGAGAATCCAGTTAAAGATCCCTCCATGAAATCAGTAGGACAGCAAACTGCAGGATGGACTGTCCTTACAGGATGGACTGTTCTAAACCAGGCACAGCTCGCCTCGGGGCATCAGGGTCACTAGCAATTGTCTTTGCAAGTATCTGAAAACCCTACAAAGTACCTAAAACCCAAACCAGAAAACTTTGAGAAAACAAATTCCTGAACCATACAGACACATCAATGTCTTCTCCACACCTCTTGGGGCTAAGTAGAATAAATCAAAAAATAAATAGAGGAATGCTATTCTAGCTTTTTGAAGAATAAATTCACAAAACTTTCCTAATGCCCTATTTCAGTACAGAAATAAAAATTGTTAAATCATAAGTCTCTTTATTTGACCCAGAGAGCCCTCCTAATAAAATATTGTGTTCATTATTCAAAAGCAGCCTCAGGGACTGCATCTCATAGAGTCTAAAGATGCTAACCTCTACCTGGGCACAGTGTTCTCATTTAATCAATGAGTAAATGTGAAAGAATTGAGTATGACTCTTAGAAGAAAGAAGCGAGTTGGAGTGGGCACATGGACCAAACATTAACTGACTTCTATGGAATGGAGAAGAGAGCAGGTAGAAAGATAATACAACCAGAGCACTGTGGGAAGTGATCAATCACTCCAATAAGCAGAATTTGAATACAGGGGAATTAGAATAGAAAGAGGCTTGCTCAGGAATCACATGGAATAGCCCTGTGAAGCCATGTCTCTGAGAAATCAGCCACCTTTCTGGTTTATGTGTATTTCATTCTTCTTTTTTATTTCAGCATCTTATGTTACCATAGTTGCAGAAAGTTGAAGAAACCGAGCTGAATGTGTAAATAATACAGTAATACTAGCAGCTGCCACACTAGCATTTACTGGGCATCTTTTAGATGCCAAGCACTGTTTCTCAGACCATGGCCCAAAAAGTAAATTAATACCTGGACTGTGATTGTCCTGATGCTAAACATGGATGACCTACTAAACAAATGAAACAGCAGTTAATAGAATGACCTTTTAAAGGTATTCCAGGGCTGTGGATGTAGCTCAATGATAGAATGCTTCCCTAGCATGCATGAGTTCCTGAGTTCAATCCTAAGCACTGAAGAAGAAAGGGGGAAAAAAAAAACACTAACTAGATTCTATTTGCTTGCAGGGCTAGAACCTTCCTCAGGGTGAATTTGAAGGCAGTCATTTTAAAAAGTAAAGAAATGATTGTCACTCAAGTTTACCATATGATTTTAAATCTCTGATTTTTGGTTGCCTTACTACACATTGTAGGAACAATCAATTCAGCCATAAGCCACCTTGGAACCATATGCAATCCTCCTTCTTAGTTTAAGTCCTTTGTGAATTCTGACATAGCCATATTAAAGCTTAATCCATAACCCAAGCATGCTGGTTTTAATTCCATGTGATGAAAACTGAAGGTAAATACCTTCCAAGCCTCAAAACTGGAACATTAAGACAGACTAAGAAAAATGGATGATCCATTCCATGCAAAGTAAGATTTCTGATTTAGTTACAGATAGTATGAACATAGTCCCTTGACTATATAAAGCACGTAGAGTAGAAACCTAGTTACAAACTGTTTCCACAGATCTTCAAGTGGATTATGGACATAATTTAATATATCCTTTGCATTTCTCCATGGGGGGAAAGAGTAAATATCCTCTTCTTTGATATCACTATTCTTTCAACCTTGCTAACCTCTCTTTTCCATTAGATTCCATTAAGTAATGTTTCAAATTCACTTCTGCCTTTTTAATGTACCAGAGGGCAAAAGAATGAAAAATGGAAGTTTAGTGATGTAGTTTATACACACTAATTTTGAGCAAATTTCCAAACTGCCCAGCTTTCAAATTAAATAATTCATCCTCTTCCTCAAAACATCCCTGTGACAGACAAATCCTAAGGTGTCCCCAGTGATCCCTACCCTCCTAGTATTCATACCTTTACTTAACTCCTTCTACTTGAGTATGGTTGGGACATAGGACTTGCTTCCAACAACCAGCTATGCAAGGTTCCATCTTGGTA